AACCCCGCCATCACCACGTACTCACCTCTCCACCTACACTACTATCCACCACACCATCACCAATTTACTCGCCTCACCGCCTGCATACTCACCACCTCCACCTACCCAGCACCAACTATCTCGCCTAACTCCTCCTGCCATACCTCACCACCACCAACGTACTCCCCTCCTCCACCTACATATTTGCCACCGCCACCATCACCAATTTACTCGCCTCCTCCGCCTGCATACTCACCACCACCACCACCAACGTATTCCCCTCCTCCACCTACATATTCTCCACCACCACCGCCACCATCACCAATTTACTCACCTCCTCCACCACCACCATCCTTCTCGCCACCTCTACCCACATATGGACAATCACCTCCACCTCCACCAACGTATTCCCCTCCTTCGCCTGCATACTCACCACCACCGCCGCCAACATATTCTCCTCCTCCACCTATATACTCCCCTCCTCCCCCTGCATATGCACAACCACCACCGCCTCCACCAACATACTCGCCTCCTCCACCTGCATACTCACCACCACCACCGCCAACGTATTCTCCTCCTCCACCTACATACTCGCCCCCTCTCCCTGCATATGCACAACCACCACCACCTCCACCAACATATTCTCCTCCTCCACCTACATACTCGCCTCCTCTCCCTGCATATGCACAACCACCACCACTTCCACCAACATACTCACCTCCTCCACCTGCATACTCACCACCACCACCATCACCAATTTACTCGCCTCCGCCTCCCCAAGTGCAACCACCACCACCGACTTTCTCTCCTCCTCCGCCAAGACGAATTCACTCACCTCCTCCTCCTCATAGGCAGCCACGACCACCTACACCTACGCCTACTTATGGCCAACCACCATCACCACCGACTTTCTCTCCTCCTCCGCCAAGACGAATTCACTCGCCGCCTCCTCCTCATAGGCAGCCACGACCACCTACACCTACACCTACTTATGGCCAACCACCACCACCACCAACTACATATTCACCCCCTTCTCCTCCTCCATATGGGCTTCTGCTTAGCACTCCATAAACTAGACCATCCACGCCACCAACAAACCTGCCACCTTCTACGTACCATGGCCCATTGCCACCACGTACCTCCTGTACACCATAAGAGCTGCATTTAGTCGCTAGTTGTTCCTTAATTCAATAAAGGTCTGGTGTGTTTCTTACTGTTGTCTCACCAGAATAGCTATAAAGATCAATAGTTCTTTCTGTTCTTTTACTATGAGTAGACAGCTATGAAGATCCTGTAATAAACTTCAAGTGTTGTTTAAGCTTGATTAAGTACTATTATGCAGTGCTTTTTGGCGATATTCTAACTTTTTAAGAACTAACTGACATGCAGGATCATCTTTACTTCCAAAACGGAATTCAACCCGGTAATTTACTATAGACGACTCAAAACCTGATAGGAATAAATCATTAGTATGCCCAAATTAAAAAGTTCAATGCTAAGAAGTCTCAAATTTTTACTCGAAAATATAGCTTAGCAAAATTGACGTTAATTTAGTCAATAATCAGAAAACAAGAGGGTTTAAGGTTTTGACCATCTGTTCTCTCGTTACTATGCGACAAGAAGCTTATTGGATGTAATATTTTACTGCCAAGCTATTATGGATAACTTAATATCTCCAATGCAAACAGTCCAAGAAACTGCAGTAGTTAACGTAAACCTTTTGGACATGCGAAAGAGAACGTGAGAGCTTTGCAACTACAATATTTTAGACTTTTAGTTCGATAATATTTCCGCTAAACTCATTTTAAGGTCCCATGGGAACCCAACCCAACAAAAGTAGAAAAAGAAAAGAGAAACCAAATTATCCTTCTAGTCCAGAACTGGATAATTAAATCAAGTAAAGATAAATTAGAACAAAATAATTCAAAATACCTGTCCAATAACAGGACAAATTTGAGCTTAAGATGCTTTCGGCTATATGGGATTTGATTATGTACAGTACAGCTTAATTAGGTAAATAGTTCTTTTTCCCCCCCGAGAAATAGAATATGTATTAATCAAACCCAGTAGTCAGCTACTCATTGTACGATGAAGCCTCATTGACAATCCACATAGGAAAGTTGTCAAACCAAGAGACTTCATTACGTGGTGATAAAGAAAACTTAGCTAACTTATGGCTACAAGTATAATAAACCGCTCCACACAGCAGTCAAACACTGCTTATGAGACCAGATCGACATCTTCACAACAGTATTTACCTCCCATGAAGACACAATTCTTAATTCACCCTTTGTTAAAAGAAGTTTTAAGTTTATCCATTGATGTGTAAAATATTTTTAATTAATGCATGCTCACTGTAATTTGGTGAATTCAAACAGGTTTTTCCATTTTTTCTAATTATTAATCTTTGTTTAGTGTAATATTTGCCTGCAATTGACTTTTATTTAACTGATCTGTTTTTAGTCACGTAAAAAGAAAAGGGCACACGAGACCAAAAAAAAAAAAAAAAGAATTATAGTTTTTCTTTGCCATTTTACATGTAATATGAACCACCACCTTACGACTTAGTTGTTCAGCTTAGTGACAAATATCTTTAAAATGATAAATAATACTTAGTTGTTCAGATCAAGTAAGTCGATTTTTCAAACATTGGAACCAACCAATTAAGTCAGTTTTTTATTGATTCGATTTTTGTCGGGTTTTCGGGTTTTTCGGTTATTTATCGATTTTTTTCTTAAATATGAGACATACACTACCAAACAAATATTCCGGCGACTACATTTTCAGCGTAACACTATCAAATCAATTGATCTTTGAGAAATCTATCATTTACCAAGATATATTGATGATAATTGAATCAAATAGCGATGAATAATTTAAGTACTCAATTATTTTTAACATGAAATAAATTCTTGTATTTAGCAAAAGAAAACTACCAATCAAACTAGAATGTAAAGGCAACGAATTAGATTTTTATAATAGCAATGAACAAGATTATACAAATGACTAATATGTATTATAAAATTTTAGAAACTGTATATAAAAATATACATATATATAGGTGTAATAATAAATTTAAATAGCTACTTTTATAGTTGGTTTGGTTCGATTTTTTCGGTTATTATTTGATTAAAACCAAAACCAAACCAATTTGGTCGGTTTTTAAAATTCAAAACCAAAATCATACCAAATCTAAAAAGTATCGAATTTTTTGGTCGGTTTGATTCGGTTTTGGTTTGTTTTGATTTTTCGGGTGTTATGAACATCCCTACTCGGAAGCTATACGACTTATATACATGATATTTTACAAATCTTTTTCCTAAATAATTATGGAACGTAATATTATTTAAAATGGACATTTTTCGCGTAATTTTTTGGCGCGCTGTAAAAAAAAAAAAAGAAAAAAAATAGTTAAAGTAGCACGGGCTAGCCAGTTTTCGGATTGGTCATTCAAAAATAGCCAGCATTTACCAAGTCATTGAAAAATAGCCATTATTTTGCTACAACAGAGACCGGTCCAGCATAATATACTGGGGTTCGGTACACCTGTGTATGAACTTCCAGCATATTCTGCTGGACCGGTATACTTTGCTTGCTCCAGTATAATATACTGGAGTTCTAGCAAAGTATACTAGAGTTCCAGTATATTATACTGGAATTCTAGTATATTGTGCTGAAGTATTTTTCGGATTTTGCATAGTGTTTTCATTCAGATTTATCTTTACATGAAAAGTGGCTAAATTTCGATGACTTTTGAAAGTGCTAATTTTGAATTTCTCCCAAAAAAACCTTGAGAGAGTGAGAGTTCTGTAAAAATAGCACGGTATAGCCAGTTTTCGGACTGGTCAATCAAAAATAGCCAGCGTTTACCAAGTCAATGAAAAATAGCAACTATTTTGCTGCAATAGAGACCAGTCCAGCATAATATACTGGAGTTCGGTGCACTTGTGTATGAACTCCAGCATATTATGCTGGACCGGTATACTTTGCTGGCTCCAGTATAATATACTGGAGACTGGAGCACCGGTGCTCCAAACTCCAGTATATTATACTGGACCAATATACTTGCTGGAACTCCAGTATATTATGCTGGAGTTCTAGTGTACTTATGCTGGAACTCCATCATATTATGCTGGAGTTCCAGCATACTTATTCTGGAACTCCAGTATAATATGCTGGAGTTCAAGTATACTTATGCTGGAACTCCAACATAATATACTGGAGTATTTTCCGGGTTTTGAACAGTGTTTTCGCTCAGATTTATGTTTATATAAAAAATGGCTAAATTTTGATTACTTTTGAAATTGGGCTATTTTTGAACGACCAGTTGTAAATCTGGCTATTTTTAAAATTTACCCAAGAGTTCTCCATTGGGCCCAGATCTCACATAACCCGACCAGCAAGTTTTTCCCAAGCCCAAAGTAACATTAATATATCTTCTTGCCTCTTTTGTTCTTCACAGACTGTCACTTTCACCTTGCTTTCTCGCTCAACCGTCGCACATAAAGACAAAGACAACATTCGCCAATTGTAGCTTCTGCTTTCTGTACTCTCTTTGAAAGCAAACATGTTTTTTCACATAGTATTGGAGAGAAACATGTAGCTGCATCCTCGTCACTTTGGCCGTGACCTTCGGGAAAAGCTCGTCTCAAAACTCATGAAAGATGTCGAAGGAACTTGCAGGTTTGATTAAACCCTAATTTATTCTCAAATCAACATTATTTTTGTGCATGCTAGGGTCCAATCTTTGAAATCAGGTGCGAGTGCACTGCTTTCAACTCAGAAGTCTGTATATATGAAAGGGAAAAGGGTAAAATCGACCCCTGAAATTGAGCAACTTTGGCATCGGTTAAGTTTTGGTTTAATTGTCACGCCCCAAACCTTTCAAAACCTTATACATAGTTTCATGTTTACCATGACTATATTTTATACACAGTGTACACGGAGTTTCCATGACAAGGATTATTCAAATACAGAAATCACTAGACTCTAAGATACCCACTAGGAAAGTATCGGGTGATCCACGCCGTCCAAAACTATCAACCCCTGCCAAAAGACATAAGTATATACTGAAAAGTACTCTTATGCATCGTCAATTCCCTGACATAAAAATAGGACAAGAACATACAAAGGGAACATGAAGAGGTACTATGCAATTAAAAAACAGTAATCAATTTCATCATCATTTTCATAAAAAAGATCCATTATGCAATTGAAATCATTTCATAATCCATAATAAAGTTTGAATTTGTAAACAAACTTATAACTTTTCATTAGTTACCAACATTTTGTTAAACCACCATGTGAATGGCATGCAGTCCGATCTCAGTCCTATCGGCTAAGCCATCTCATCATAATAAAGTTTGAATTTGTAAACAAACTTATAACTTTTGGTGCAGTTCATTAGTTACCAACATTTTGTTAAACCACCATGTGAACGACATGCAGTCTGATCTCAGTCCTATCGGCTAAGCCATCTCATCACAATGCCGTGTGGAACGATATTAGTTTGCTAGCAATTTCAGTCGTCCAGTCCAAGCCACGGTACAACCGTAGTATCTAGTGGTCCAGTCCAAACCACGGTACGACTAGATTTCTACAACGGAAGGTGTAGTTTTGGGTGTTCGATTTACTTCCCAATACCTTTTCGGCTCTCTGAAGATACTCTTAATATATCTTTATATTATTTGGCCCTTTTATAAAAGCATTGGCACCTTTGGCCCTTTCATAGTAGTTGGCACCTTTGGCCCTTAAACATAATCTATAAATTAGGCTCAATAGCCACAAACATTCTCTTTTCATTTCGTAGCCATTTGCATTCATCATTTGAAAGCTATAGTCATATTCATATTCATGGAAAGCTTTAACACAGTGTTCCTTTTCATTTAAAACGCGAAACATTCATAATTCATAGTCATTTTCATTTGAAAATCATATTGTCATGTTCATTAGAAATCTTGAAAACACATATAGTCATAACACTTTGTGAAACATAGCATTTGCGTGTTTTCCTTTCGACATATATGGATAATGCATGATTACTTGTCCCATACAATCATATATTTACGTTTTGGAAAAAAACCCCTAGACATGTAGATATGCGTCGAAAGATATGGAGTTTCAGGGAAACAATTCTATGTAAAGGTTCGGCTCAACATACCTTGGATATGCCCTTCTAGTCATTAGATTAGTTATCTCCAATTGTCTAAGAACAAGCTGATCGACACAAATGATTTGAATCTACAGTACACATATGAATTAATGTTCATCAACATCATATCACAACAACGCCAATTCAATCAACTAAACGTTCAACATTTATGCTTAATTCCCAAAGATTCAAGAGAAATCCACATTTTTCCTTTGGATGCTGATTCTCGTTTTTTTAACCCCAATCCGTTCATTATATGTCTTATTAGTCTAGTTGCTAAATTAGAAACTCAGAACGACACACAATTCGGATCAACCCATCATTATTCATCATTTTCTCTTCCCAAAAATCAATTTCCGAGACCCATAACTAGGGTTCAAACAATCTCTATTTAAGCTCCAATTTTATTCCATAAACATGTTCTATAAGCTTATTAGAACACGATATATAACAATGGAGTAGCGAGGTTACCTTGTTGTAGACAAATCTTGAAATTTCCTAACTTCGAAGATTCTTGAGGAAGATGAAGATTCTACAAAGAATCCACATTTGGATATTAAGATTCATATTAACAAACTTAATCTATCATAAATCAACAATTTCCAGTAAACTTTTACGTTTGGAAGGAAATTTCTGGTGAAAAACCTCGCAAGGAACCATGCCTAGCTTCAAAAATGAAGGCTGACCGAAATGGCCCTTTTATAGAATAGTCTTGAATGCTGCAACATTCGATTTTTTGGATGCTGCAGTATTGCCTCGATTTTTTTTCCTGGCAATAGTATAGAGTGCTGCAAACATTCGATTCTTGATGCTGCAACATTGCCTTAAAATTTTCTTTCCTCTCTTTCTCTTCCTGTGATGCTCTGCCCAAGCCAATTATTTCACTTCATACCATGCCCGTATAATATTTTGCTCGTCCTTGGTTAGCCTTGGCAAGAAAAACGTTATCTTAAATCGACGTGGCGCACGTTAAAGTCTTAAAGCCTTATGAAATTTTTACCGGGCTTTACACTAATATTACCCCTGCCGCTATGAAAAAGTCCGTTTTTGCCCGTGACTCCTGAAGGAGCTCAGCTCCTACATGAGAATAATTTAGATTCATAGTCAGAAAAGTTGACGGGTAAACTTGGACCTTTTTTCTCGAAAAGTTTGACATGTGGAGTACATCCATTTACAGTGGAGCAGACAATTTGCTGTCGACAAATAAATGGACCAAAACTGTAATGGAGGGAAAAATTGAACAATCTAGGATAGTACATGGCCGAATTTGGACCTTTTCCGTATATGAAAGTATGTATTATATATATCTATATATACATATATATGTTTATTTATTAAACTATATACATTTGTAAATGTTGGTATACGCTCTGCACCAATTTTGCAAAGTAGTAGGGGATACGGCAATTTTTAGCATCCATGGACTTAATTTCTCTTTTTGGTGTTCAGCTCAATATTTATGCTATATTGATTCCTGAGATTTTGGATTCTTCAGCGGTCGGCACGGTTTCATTGTGGCCATTACTGGGATTGAAAGCGTCGGTAAAGGTCTAATTCGTGATGGAACTGGTTTTGTTACTTTTCCGGTGAAGTATCAATGTGTTGTATTTCGACCTTTCAAAGGTGAGATTTTGGAAGCTGTTGTAACCATGGCTAACAAGGTAGGATATTCTTTTTTCCTTAAATGAAAGTTTAACAGATTTTTTCTCTACCTGTAGATATTTTACTATTGTGGATCAGTGCAGATGGGATTTTTTGCTGAAGCAGGGCCTGTGCAGATTTTCGTTTCAAACCATGTGAGTTGGTTCTTTATTCTAGAATGTTAATCACCAGAATATATTGCTCTCTTCGTGATTCTTGAGGTCCATTATCTTAGCTTAGCATAAAACTAGCACATATTCTGTTCTATTCATGGGTTAATTATGTGTGGCACATATTTCTTTTACAAAACATTATTGTGCTAGTTTTGTCACACAACAGTTAGAATTTGAAAGGTAAAATGGAGGTTCTTTAATTTTTTTTTGTCCTATATACTTGTTTCCTTTGTGCTAATTCAGTAAAACGATTGGAGGAGTTAATAGTGAAAAGGAATCGTCTTATCAAATGGTTATTCTAATGTGAATCTCTAGTTTATAGTTTTATTTTTTTTTAGAGTAAAGGGGATCTCTAGTTTGAAGATATCATACTACTGAGAACTGGGAAGTAGCATACCCCCTTTTGCTAATAACATGACCTATTTACATTTGGTGATTCGAAAGGGTTCTTTTTAATGAGTATTTTGATAGTTAAATAATTTGAATTGAGGTTGAATATTCGTTAGTTTGACTCTTATACTTTGAACTTATCACTTTTGTTGGGACAGTGGATACATGATATTGTAGTCTGAACTTGTCACTTTTGTTGGATGGAGAACAAATGTGTTTACATATATGCACATGATTATTGACCATGTATTTTGTATTGATTAAAATTTGTGCTAAGCTTTTGGAGGATATTTTCAAAGTCGATTTATCTTATCTTGAGAATAGAATGAGCAGGACATGGAGCCCAATACCTTTCCTTTCCTTTTCTTTTCTTTTCTTTTTCAGTTGGTCATTTTAGATTGGCATGAACAGAAATACACTTCAAAGTTATTCGAAATGAATGCACAATGCTTCTCTCTATTGTAATTTGGTGGTTGCGAAGCTCTTCTAGTAGTTACGATACCAGTAGAATGATGTGTAGTCACTATGGTGTGACCTTTGTAGATTTTGGCCCATTTTCTGGAAAGTCTATGCTATTTGGCCACTATAGTTGTTTTTATTTGTGTTATGTTTCTTGCTTATTATTAATTGAGTATCTTTGTAGGTGATGTATATGTAAGGGGTATAAAACCGCATAAGAATTATTGGAAGGGAACAAATAAAGTTGGATCAAATGAATAAATGGATAGGGCTGCAACTTCAATTGAATTATATGGAAAAAAGCAACGAACTTTTGTTCTTAATTTGAATGATTCCTGATAACTAGACGTTAAAATATATTAGTGCCTCATGCAGGAAGGGTTTCTTGTCCCATGCATGGATTCTCGATTTCTTTAATGAATCCTAATTATTATTTCCTCCAATGACATACTTTCCTTATTAGTCCGTTCAAAAAAGAATGACATATTTCTATATTAAGAAACAATTTAACTTTAAACTCTTCATTTTACCCACTTTACCCTTAATGAAAAGGTTTTATAGCCACACAAATGCCATGGCCCCACAAAGCTTTTGTTCCTTAAGCTTTTAGGACCACATGTTTCTAATGTCTTTTTTTTTCCTTCTTAAACTTTGTTCCAAGTCAAACTACATCATCTAAATTGAAAGGGAGGGAGTACCATTTTCTATTTTCGAGATGTATGTGTAGAAGAGATAGTATATTGATGACTTATCAAAAAAAAAAAAAAAGAGATAGTATATTGATGAAGAAAGTTTTTTTCCTGATGTCAAAAGAGCGATTAGGTTGAAAAAAATAAAGGATCTGTCCTTTTCCGTCTATAATGGCCATATATATATCAGGCTATTTGATGCATGTAAAAGCTTATACTTTGGCCTTTGTCTATCTCTTTTTGTGTGTGACCCTTGGCTTTCCTGCAGTTGATACCAGATGACATGGAGTTCCGGTCAGGAGATGTACCAAATTATACAACTTCCGATGGCTCCGTATGAAAATTTTCATGCTTCACCAAGCTTTCTCTTCTTTTTAAGAAATTCTCAGCCTGTGATGTTTAAGAGATTTGATTAATTCATCTTTTTCAGGTCAAAATTCAGAAGGAGAGTGAAGTTAGATTGAAGATCATTGGAACTCGTGTTGATGCCACAGAAATTGTATGTTATTGACTTGCCTTATAACCTAGTGAAATTTCAGAAATCTTGAGTGATGCCCTGAAATTCTGGTTCATCTCTGTATATATAAAGATGGCCCATTCTATTTTTATTTTTTTTGGGAGGAAGGGGGCGGGAATCACTGCCTGCAAGATTTAAAATTCTCAAGATGATCCTATTGGTTTCGACAAATGGCTGTAACAGTCCATCACTGATAGTTAGTTTTTTAATATCGACTAATCGACTATCGAGTCATGACCTCTTTTCTTGTATTCTATTATTGTTAGATTTCTACTGCTACATGTTGTTCCTTTCGCTTCGTTTTCTTATTATCTTGCCGCTGTTAGTGCTTGTTACTCATGACCAATAGTCCCAAACAAAATAAGGCATCACACTGTTGAGATACAATGTATAAGACGTTTAGCATGTGTACATTACATTTACTCATTAAGGGTATCTAGATGCCAAACTGTGTTCTGAATAGTATGTGACTGAATCACTGGTGGAGCTCTTGAGACCAAGAGAACTGTGCAGGTTGGGGTTTTTCCAAGAAATAAAGCATAAATGGGTAGTATGAAAAAATATTTTCATTGCGATTGATGTCTAAGTAACAAGAATGCTGCTGATATAATTAATGCACATAAGTGAAACTTGACACCAGAATGAGGGAACCTTAAATGAAGAATTAAGAACATAATAACTTCAAGCGAAGACAAGGACTTATGTGAGTTATACATTTACTTGTTACGTCATACATGGACATTTGTTGCCTCCCTCATATGTGTTGGTTTTTCCATCTCTTTTGCAGTTCTGCATCGGTACAATAAAGGATGATTTCCTTGGTGTGATCAGTGATCCTGGCGCAAATGCTTGATATGCAGCCCTTTTGTTTTACCTTGTAAGTTTATGTTCAAGCAGTAAGCTATAATTTGCGATGCTGCTTCCTGTACAAGCGTTTAGGAGAGATGATGTTTGTGGCTTAATTATTGTATTGGAAGCTTCATGTAATTTATTGTTTAAATCTTTGAAAAATTTCACAGCTACTGGCTAAAGTATGTCGCCCAATGCTCGGAATTGATTTTAAGTTTGTTCGGTTAAAGTATATTGCCTAAAATTGGTTTTAGTTTGTTCAGAAATTTTCCCTAGCTTCTTGGCCAGTTTTTGCTGTATTGTATAGATTCAGAGTTTGTTCAGTTGTTTATTTCTACTTATGGAGTATATCATTCTACACTGAATTCTTCTATACTATTATCTTCCATATCGGTTGATCTAATTAATCAAATGATTTTCTTCTATAGCATTTGTGTTTGCAACTCTATGTGAAGTGATGCAAGTTGTTGGTTAGAGTGGGAAGAAGTACTATGTATTCCAAGTGCTTTGGTTGAAGACTGCAAGATCTTGTTACAGAGTAGCAAAGCCGTGTAACATTTTCTTCAGCTGTGCTTATTATTTGGCGAATCTACTTAATCATATGCACTAATTTTCTTTGTCGATCTGCAGTATTTAATAATTTGATATTCAAATGGCTGAGGCAATATGTTTTGCTGGCTGAGATTGGATTGTCTCACCTTTTATAATAACCTTGTGTGGGCACTTTCAAATCATTTTGCACAAGTATCTGCTTGAGACCAGCATTTCTGTAGATTAGTAGTAGATATTTTCTCTCGGGAACAAATGTACAACTTGTTAGTATAGGTCCGTGCTGTTGTTTTATTTCATTTGACAACTTGACAAGCAAAAGTTTGTGGCAAGGGATTAATGAGAAAAGTTGTCCAGCAGGCCCAATCTCTGATTACGTATTAACTATCTATTCTATCATTTTAAATTGAACTTTGACTTGCATTTTATACAAAATTATGATAGAAAACTTAAAAAAGAAGAAGTCAAAAACATCATCAAAACTTAATTTTGATGATATATATATATATATTAGAAATTTCAGAAAATTGTATATACAAGTAAAGTGATACTTTTTGGATCCCGTTAATGCTATTATATATTTGAAGAGCGAAACAGATCATTCTTTAATAATCGAGTTTCAACTACTTTTGAACATTTTTTTATCGAAGGTTTTTATTGTTCACGCAAAAAAGTTTTTATTATTGATACGTTATTGTCAATTTTTAAATAGGTAATTTTGTTTATAAAAACATTTGAAGAAGTGATTTTTGCCGTTCCATAAAACTATAGTGTTTTTGTCCGTCGTGACTCGCGAGCTCCATTATTCCTTTTTGAGAATGAAGCAATGATTTAGGGTGTGTTTGGTATGAAGAAAAATATTTTTCGTAAAATATTTTCTAATTTTCTCATGTTTGGTTGGCTCAAATGTTTTGGAAAATATTTTCCTTATCAACTCATTTTCCTCCAATTGGAGGAAAATATTTTCCTTATCAAGAGAAGGGAAAGCATTTTCCAAAACTCCTTCTCAACCTTCTCCACCCACCCTCACCAGGCGGATCTAGGATTTGAAGATGGCGAGTGCCATAATTTTCTTTAATTTAGAGTCTGTTTGGGTTAGCTGATTGTAAATAGCTGAAAATCATTTTTAAGTGCTGAAATTGTTTTTTTAAATAAGTATTTACGTGTTTGGATAGACGTAAAAATTTTGATAAGTGATTTTTTAATTAAAATGACTAAAATATCCTTTAAAACTTTACAAAAGATTATAAATTTAAAAGTTTCTTTGTAAAGAAAAAGATGAACAACGAATATGGAATACAAAGAAAGTAGGAAAATTTATTTTAGGAAAAATATTTTGTGAATTAGAAAATATTATTAAGGATAAACTAGTAAAAGCTTTGGTTAAACTAAAAGTGCTTATAAGCTAAAAACCATATTGTGGGTGACCAACTTATGACTGATTTTAGCTTATAAGCACTTGGCTTATAAACACTCCGAGTGTTTACCAAACGCGTAGATAATCCAAAAAGTACTTATAAGCCAGTTTGACCAGCTTATAAGCTTAGCCAAGCACCATTTATGACTTATGGCTGCTTTTAGCGTATATATGCACTTTGGCCAAAAGCGTAGATAAGCCAAAATGTGCTTATAAGCCAGTTTGACCAACTTATAAGCTTAGCCAAACACCCTCTTATACCTTGTAGTGACTAATACGGAATTTGTTAGGTACATTTATTCGTTTTTTTTAGTTTATTCGGGTCAGCCTAAAAGATATTTTTTATTTGCAAATATAAAAATTACATCTCAGATATAGAAAAATAAACCTAATTAGCATTTTAAATAAGGAATAACACCTTTATTATAACAACACAAGTAAAATTAACATTTTCACTAGAAAATTATATCTTTTTCTTGTAACGACCCGGCCGGTCGTTTTGAGAGTTAGAGCCCCGAGCCCCCTATTAACTGCTTTCCCCGTATCTTTTTCTTTGACTTGCCGGGAAGTTCCGTTTTGGTTTTTGAAGTGTTTTGGGACACTTAGTCCCTAAATGGAAGCTTAAGTCTTAAGATTTGGACTGTAGTCGGAACAATGTGAAGACGACTCCGGAATGGAGTTTTGTCAATTCCGTTAGCTCCGTTGAGTGATTCTAGGCTTAGGGGCGTGTCCGGATTGTGCTTTGGAGGTCCGTAGCTTATTTAGGCTTGAAATGACGAAAGTCGAATTTTTGGAGATTCGGACCGATAGTGGAATTTTTGATATCGGGGTCGGGATCCGATTTCGGAAGTCGGAATAGGTCCATAGTGTGAATTATGACTTGTGTGCAAAATTTGGGGTCAATCCGACGTGGTTTGATAGGTTTCGGCATCGGTTGTGGAAATTTGAAGTTTCAAGTTCATTAAGTTTGGATTGGAAGGTGATTTGCGTTTTTGGCGTTGTTTGATATGATTTGAGGGCTCGACTAAGTTCGTATGGTTTTTTAATATTGGTTGGTATGTTTGGTTGAGGTCCCGGGGGCCTCGGGCGAGTTTAGGGTGTTTAATAGATCAAATATTGAAGTTGAGTTGTTGCTGAAGGGATCAGTCATCTGGTATTTTCGTACCTGCGGTGGAAGGTCCGCAGGTGCGGCCTCGCAGAAACGAGGATGAGATCGCAGATGCGGCCCTGGTCTGGGTAGCTAGTGGTCGCAGGTGCGGTGAAGGCATCGCAGAAGCGGATTCGCTCCTACGGATAGGAAATCGTAGAAGTGGTAGCAGGTCACAAAGCGGACATCTGAGCGTAGAAGCGCAACCGCAGATGCGGATATTTGGGCGCAGGTGCGGAGCCTGGGAGGTTAATGAAATTCCGCAGGTGCGGAACTATAGCCTCAGAAGCAGTACCGCATGTGCGGTAATGGGCTTGCAGAAGCGATTTAGCTGGGCAGAAAAGAGAATCGAGGGTTTGATTCATTCTCCATTTTTGGACCTAGAGAGCTCAGATTGAGGCGAAATTTCGAGGGATTTTCAGAGCAAGCTTGTGGGTAACGATTCCTTACTCGATTTTGGTTGCATTTCATTAATCTATTGTTATTTTCTTCATTTAATCAAGGAATTTGAGTGAGAAAGTTGGGAAAACGGGGGAAAAGTTCCCTGGTCGAATTTCTGAGTTTTGAGTGGGATTTTGACTTCGGATTTGGATAATTTTGGTACGAGTGAACTCGTGGGTGAATGGGTGCTCATAATTTGTGATTTTTACCCGATTCCGAGACGTGGGCCCCTAGAGGCTTTTGACCGATTTTTTTTCCAATTTCTTGCTTTAATTTTGTTTCTATTCGTTGGATTAGCTTCTTGTAGTTGTATTTATGTCATGTAATTAGTTTTGGCTAGATTTGGGCTGTTCGGAGCCGGATATCCCTGGAAAGAGCATTGTTTCAGATTGATTGAGCTTGGTTGGAGGTAAGTGGCTTGCCTAACTTTGCGTTGGAGAACTCCCCTTAGGATTTGGTACTGTTTGATATATTAGTGCCGTGTACGTGAGGTGACGAGTGCGTACACAGGCTATTTATTGAAAAACTTCATTTTCAATAAGTAAAATATGTGTTTTTCATAAATTGAGCTACACTAGCCTATGTAATTATCCTGTTTAGTTTAGAAAAGCATGCCTACGTGCCTTAACTGCCTTAACTGCCTATCTGAACTCTATGTAGCATGTTTAGTGAAATTTCCTGTTCTTCCTTGACTCGGACTTAGCCTAATTGTGGTTTTCTTGTTGTAACTGTTATTTCTGTTGGTTGAGCTGCACATTTACGTTTGTGACTACGGAACGGTATTCCGATAGATCCCCCTGCATAATTACATTTGGGACTACGGAACGGTATTCCGATAGATCCCCCTGCATATTTACGTTTGGGGACTACGGAACGGTATTCCGGTAGATCCCCCTGCACATTTACGTTTGGGACTACAAGACGGTATCTTGGGAGATCCCCTGTTGTTATCTCTGTGTACTGAGCTGTTGTTTTTTTGTGATTTCATTCTCGTTAAATTTTAGTATTTATCTTTACTGTGATATTTCATTCTGTCTTATTTTATTATATATATATATATATTAGTAGGGCCCTGACCTGATCTCGTTACTACTCGACCGAGGTTAGGCTTAGCACTTACTGGGTACCGTTGTGTGTACTCATACCCTTTCCTGCACATATTTTTCGTTCAGATCTAGGTACCGCACATCAGCCGCATTACTAGTGAGACGAGGCGGCTGTAGAGACTTCAAGGTATATCTGTCGCATCCGCAGACCTCGGAGTCCCTATCTACTCTTTCTCAAGTTAAACACTTCTTGTATTTTCTTCTTTGTTAGATTCTGGAGTTTAGAAGCGCTGTTTCCTTTCTGTAGCTTGTTACTTATGACATTCCAGGCTTTGGGAGAGTTTAAGTACTTTTCGAAAGCGATTATTGGAAATGCCAAGTGGCATCTCATTTCCTTGTTTAAATTTACTTGTTAGTTGATAGCTTTTATGTTTTTTCGTTCCTTTTTCCGCAACGTTAGGCTTACCTAATCGTAGGGACTAGGTGCCGTCACGACGGTTCACGGAGGGAGTACTTGGGTCGTGATAAGCTGGTATCAGAGCTCTAGGTTCATAGGAATCGTGAGTCACAAGTCAGTTTATTAGAGTCTCGCGGATCGGTACGGAGACGTCTGTACTTATCTTCGGGAGGCTATGGAACTATTAGGAAAATTCCACCTCATTTGATTCCTTGTCGTGCGAGATTATTGACTTCGAAATTCTAAACTTCGGTCTTCTATTCTCTCATAGATGGTGAGGATACGTGATAATGGAGATGACCAGGCACCCGTGCCCCCTGCTGGAGCGCCCGAGGACGGGGCCGGAGTAGAGGCTGAGGACGCGTACGTGGTGCAGCCAGAGCACCCGGGCGGGCTGCTATAGAGTAGCCACTAGTAGCTCCAGCCGGAGCACAGGCACCTGATACGCCTACTACTACTACTCCAGCTCTCTAGGAGACCCTTGCACAATTCATGAGCATGTACAACACTCTAGCTCAGGCAGGGTTGATTCCTCTTGCTGCAGCCACATCTCAGACCGGGGGAGGAATACAGACTCCCACCGCCTGCACCCCAGAGCAGCGGGTTCAAGTTGATCAGATCCTAGAGGTTATACCGGTACCGCCTGTAGCCCCAGCTCAGCCCAAGGGTAGGGCAGCGGTTTCAGAGGAGGAGCAGCGGAGGCTTGAGAGGTACAAGGAGTACGACCCTCCTACATTCAGTGGTCTAGCATCAGAGGATGCTCAGGGATTTCTGGAGGAGTGCCACCGTATCCTCCGCACTATGGGCATAGCAGAGTCGAGTGTGGTTTCTTTCACTGCCTTC